CAGAAAGCAGCAAGGTGCACCACTCAACTGCTGGAGAGAAAAAGATCAGTGGTAGTTGTAGGCATCAAAGAACAGGAAGGATCCAACAGGCAAGAATGGAATGGCAATGATAGAGAGGCAGTACATGGGCTACTGAAGGGGTTAAAGATGGAAGGGGCTGTACATAACATAGAGAAGGTTTTCAGGTTGGGCTGATACAACAAGGACAGAAACCGACTTGTAAAGGTGGTGTTTACAAACGAAACCACGAAGGAGGACGTTCTCGAAAGGAAGAGTCGTCTGCAGCATATGGAGGGATACAAAAAAGTATTCCTGCAGAGGGACAGGACGAAGGAGGAGAGAGCCAGGGCAGCAGAGGCAAGGAGGAAGCGCAGGGAGAGAGGAGCAAACCAGGAAATCACAGCCCTCAAAACAATAGTCCCAGAGACAAGAGGAGAACCCAAAACCAGCATCCCAGCAACACCAGAGGGGGGGGGGGGGGGTTAACACCACCACCCTCCTCTGCATAGAAACCCTCCCTTCCCCTCACCCTACCTGCCCCCACCAACCCTCCCTCCCCCCCCCATTCTGACCCTGACACCCCTTCCCCATTCCCATCATGTCCCCCCTCCCACCTTTTTCCCCCTGTCCCCCCTCCCCCTTCATCCCATACCCTCCCTATCCCTTCTCCCCCCTCACCCCGCATCCTCCATGTCCCCCCTACCTCCTTAACCCACACCCTACCTGTCCCCCCTTCCCTTAAACCCCCACCCCCCACTCCAAAATCCTCTGAGACCCTGCAAGCCACCTCACAGATCCTCTCACCCACAGAACAGCTTCCCACACCAGCAGAATGCTTGCCAAGAAAGGGACATGAAAATGAACAGAAGAAAGTGAGCTTTAAGGCGATGTACACTAACATAGATGGGATTTCAAATAAAACAAGTGAACTTGGAGAATGGGCACTAGAAGAAAACCCAGACATAATAGCACTCACAGAAACAATGTTAACGAAAATCATAACAAATGCAGTGTTTCCACAGGGCTACTATGTAGTGAGGAAAGAGAGAGAAGGGAGAGGAGGAAGTGGTGTAGCTCTGCTACTAAGAGAAGGTTGGAGTTTCGAAGAGATGGTAATTCAGAACTGTGAAGGTTTCAGTGACTACATTTCAGGCACCATAGCAACTGGAGGACAGAAAATTATAATAGTAGTCATATATAACCCCCCACCGAATGACAGAAGACCCAGACAGGAATATGATAGAAACAACTTGGCCACCATCAATATAATACAGAGAGCAGCTTCTGTGGCTAGCAGGAACGGATCCAGACTTCTAATCATGGGAGACTTCAACCATGGGTAGATAGATTGGGGTAACAGAGACCCACATGGAGGAGGGGATGAACCAGCCTTGCTTGATCTGATATTTACCCTAAATGAGTCGGATATAAGGGAAGTTAAGTTGGAAGCCCCATTGGGAATGAGTGATCATAGTGTATTCAGCCTTGAGTACCTGGTTGAGCTGGGAATTATCACCCCCAAAAAAGAACTGGGAACCAAAGGGCTGGCGTACCGAAAGGGAAACTATGAGGAAATGAATAAATTCCTATGGAATATACATTGGGACACAGAACTCGGAACCAAGTCCGTACAAGACATGATGGACTATGTCACCCAAAAATGTCAGGAGGCTGTAAGCAGGTTTGTCCCAGCCCGACAGGAAAAAACAGAGAAGCAAAGGAAGAATCCGTGGTTTCATAAGGAATGTATGAAAGCAAAGGAGCTGAACAAAAGGGCATGGAGGAACTTCCGTAATAGCAGAACACCAGAAAGTAGAGTGAGATACCAGAGAACCAGGAACGAGTACGTCAGTGCGAGAAGAGCAGCTGAGAAAAGGTATGAAAATGATATAGCTAATAAAGCCAAGACCGAACCAAAGCTACTACACAGTCACATCAGGAGGAAGACAACAGTGAAGGAACAGGTGATGAAACTTAGGGTGGGCGAGGACAGGTACACAGAGAATGACAAAGAGGTGTGTGAAGAACTCAACAAAAGGTTCCAGGAGGTCTTTACAATAGAACAGGGAGATGTCGCGGCGCTAGAAGAGGTGGCAGCAAACCAGGTGACCTTGTATAGGTTCGAAATTACAAGAGATGAGGTCAAGAAGCTCGTATTGGAGCTGGATGTGAGAAAAGCTGTTGGGCCGGATGGAATCTCGTCATGGGTATTGAAAGAGTGTGCAGGAGCACTTTGCCTACCACTCTCCATAGTGTATAGTAGGTCACTGGAAACGGGGGACCTACCAGAAATATGGAAGACTGATAATGTAGTACCAATATACAAAAAGGGTGACAGACAAGAGGCACTGAACTACAGGCCAGTGTCCTTAACTTGTATACCATGCAAGGTGATGGAGAAGATTGTGAAAAAAACCTAGTAACACATCTGGAGAGAAGAGACTTCGTGACAACCGATCAACATGGGTTCAGGGAGGGTAAATCTTGCCTTACAGGATTGATAGAATTCTACGATCAGGTGACAAAGATTAAACAAGAAAGAGAAGGGTGGGCGGACTGCATTTTTTTGGACTGTCGGAAAGCCTTTGACACAGTACCCCATAAAAGGTTGATGCATAAGCTGGAGAAACAGGCAGGAGTAACTGGTAGGGCGCTCCAGTGGATAAGGGAGTACCTAAACAATAGGAAGCAGAAAGTTACAGCGAGGGGTGAGACCTCAGACTGGCGTGAAGTCACCAGTGGAGTCCCAAAGGGCTCTGTACTTGGACCTATCCTGTTTCTGATATACGTAAATGATCTCCCAGAGGGTATAGACTCATTCCTCTCAATGTTTGCTGACGACGCCAAAATTATGAGAAGGATTAAGACAGAGGAGGACAGCTTGAGGCTTCAAGAAGACCTGGACAAGCTGCAGGAATGGTCGAACAAATGGCTGTTAGAGTTTAATCCAAGTAAATGTAATGTAATGAAGATAGGGGTAGGAAGCAGGAGACCAGATACAAGGTATCACTTGGGAGATGAAATACTTCAGGAGTCCGAGAGAGAGAAAGACCTGGGGGTTGATATCACGCCAGACCTGTCCCCTGAAGCTCATATCAAGAGGATAACAGCAGCAGCATATGCCAGGTTGGCTAACATAAGAACAGCCTTTAGAAACTTGTGTAAGGAATCTTTCAGAACGTTATATACCACATATGTCAGACCAATCCTGGAGTATGCGGCACCAGCATGGAGTCCATATCTAGTCAAGCATAAGACTAAAATTGAAAAGGTTCAAAGGTTTGCCACCAGACTAGTACCCGAGCTGAGAGGTATGAGCTACGAGGAGAGACTACGGGAATTAAACCTCACTTCGTTGGAAGACAGAAGACTTAGGGGGGACATGATCACCACATTCAAGATCCTCAAGGAAATCGACAGGGTTGATAAAGACAGCCTGTTTAACACAAGGGGCACACGCACTAGGGGACACAGGTGGAAACTGAGTGCCCAAATGAGCCACAGAGATATTAGAAAGAACTTTTTTAGTGTCAGAGTGGTTGACAAATGGAATGCATTAGGAAGTGATGTGGTGGAGGCTGACTCCATACACAGTTTCAAGTGTACATATGATAGAGCCCAATAGGCTCAGGAACCTGTACACCTGTTGATTGACAGTTGAGAGGCGGGACCAAAGAGCCAGAGCTCAACCCCCGCAAGCACAACTAGGTGAGTACACTTTACAACTGGACCCTTTCGCGAGACTTTATCCACTGATGGTTCATCTCTCACAAGGCCACGTATCTACCAAGTAAATTATTACTATTCAACATTATCAGAGAATTATGAGATCAATGGTTTGTGGAGTAATGCGTACCTGAGCACTGTGAATTGCAACATTGGGTATTTTAACACACTGCAACCCGTCCTCGACTCAAGTCCATTACATCCAGCGGTCGACCCCGCAGACGCATTCATAAATTTTAACATGCCGTTCATTCAAAACGGGAATTTTCGCAAGTATAAATTAATATTATAATTTATTAGCATATTGTGCATATATAGGCATAGGTTAGGTTAGGTTAGGTGTTTAGGTTCGGTTGGCGATTATTTGCATTTGTAGTACGTGGGTGAAGCATTTATAGCGAAGTGGTTCGAACAAAACTCGTCAGTGAAGCACTTGTTCCGGAAGTGTTCGAACGAAATCAGTTGTGAGTCGTGTGTAAACCGCTTTTCATTCATAAACAGGGGGTTTGGCGGGTGGATGGAATCATTTTTGGATCTTTGTTTGGAGGACGGGCTGTTGAGGACTAGGTGTTGTAACATGTAGTTTTGGAACACTGGGTGTTGGAATGCTAAGTATTCGAACAGTGAGTATTGCAACATATGTTGTACAGACATTGAGTATTGGAATTTTGGGTACTGGAACCCTGAGTTTAGCAACATTGGAACATTTGGTTTTGTAATCTAGATTTTGGAACATTGGATGTTATAACTCTGGATATTCGAACAAAGGATGTGAGAACAGTAGGAGGTGGTCCAATGGGTCTTAGAATACTGGGAGTTAGAACAATTGGTGTTGGATCACTGCATATTGCAACACTGGGTGTCAAAACATTTAGTATTGAAACAACGAATATTGAAATACTGGGGTTTAGAACACTGGTTGTTGGAAAATTGGCGTTGTAGCATTGGATATTGCAAAATAGGTGTTTTGAACATTGGGTGTTGAAAAACTGGAAATTTGGAACACTGAGTGTTAGAACAATCAATTGTTGGAGCAATGGGTCTTTGAATACTTGGTATTGAAACATTGAATTATGTGACATTGTGTATCGGAACACTGAGTGTTTCATCTTTTGGTGTTGGAACACCGCGAATTGGAACACTTCGAACAAATGAACACTTTATGTTGGATCTTTGGTTGTTATAATAATTAGTATTAGAAGGTTGGTGTAAGAACATTGTTTGCTATAACACTAGGAATTGGAAAATTGTAAACTGGAACATTTTGTGTTCAAATGCTGGATTATGGAATATTGGATGTTGCAACATTGGATATTCCAACAATGGGTGTTGCAACACTGGATATTCCAACAATGGGTGTTGCAACACTGAATATTCCAACAATGGGTGTTGCAACACTGAATATTCCAACAATGGATGTTGCAACATTGGATATTCCAACAATGGGTGTTGCAACATTGGATATTCCAACAATGGGTGTTGCAACATTGGATATTCCAACAATGGGTGTTGCAACATTGGATATTCCAACAATGGGTGTTGCAACATTGGATATTCCAACAATGGGTGTTGCAACACTGGATATTCCAACAATGGGTGTTGCAACACTGGATATTCCAACAATGGGTGTTGCAACACTGGATATTCCAACAATGGGTGTTGCAACACTGGATATTCCAACAATGGGTGTTGCAACATTGGATATTCCAACAATGGGTGTTGCAACATTGGATATTCCAACAATGGGTGTTGCAACACTGGATATTCCAACAATGGGTGTTGCAACACTGGATATTCCAACAATGGGTGTTGCAACACTGGATATTCCAACAATGGGTGTTGCAACACTGGATATTCCAACAACGGGTGTTGGGACATTTTGAGTTTGATCCTTGGATGTTGGAACACCGTATGTTGGTACACTATATTGGAACACTTGGTATTGCAGCACTTGGTTTTAGAACATGGGGTGTTGGAACAATGGATGTTGGAACACTCGGTGTTGAAACACTGTTGGAAGATCGCGTGGTGGAACACTCGGTGTTGGAACATTGTGTTTTGAAACATTGGGCATTGGAACACTTGATATTTCAATACTGGGTATTGGGGCACTGGGTGAATGAACCAGTGTTAAAATACCCAGTGTTCCAGGACCAAATGTTCCGACACCCAATAATCGAAAAATCAAAGATCCAATGCTCAATGTTCCAATGCCCAGTGTTCCATCACAGAATGCTCTAACAACCAATGTTCCAGGACCCTGAGTTACAATTCCCAATGTTCCAACACTTAGTTTTCCAGCATCCAGTGTTCCTAATACTCAGTGTTCCAATACGCAGTTTTCCAACTCTTAGTGTTCCAACACCATGTATTCCAACTCAGAATGTTCCAATGCCCAGTGTTCCATCTCAGAATGTTCCATTAGCCACTGTTCAAACACCCAGTATTCGGATATCCAGTGTTCTAATACCTTGTATTCCAATACCCAGCGTTCCAACACCCTCTGTTCAAATATTTAATGTTTCAACACCTAATGTTCCACTATTCAATGTTCTCACAACCAGTGGTCCAACACCCAGTGTTCCAACCTCCAAAGTTCCAAAACCCAATGCTCGAAATACCCAGTATTCCAACACCCAGTGTTCCAACACCCAGTATTCCAACACCCAGTGTTCCAACACCCAGTGTTCTAATACCCAGTGTTCCAATACCCAGTATTCCAACACCCAGTGTTCCAACACCCAGTGTTCTAATACCCAGTGTTTCAACACCAGTGTTCTAATACCCAGTGTTCCAACACCTGGTATTCCAAAACTTAGTGCTCCATCATCCAGTGTTCCAACACTCAGTATTACAACACCCAGTATTCCAACTCCCAGTGTTCCAATACCCAGTGTTACAACACTTAGTGCTCTATCACCCAGTGTTCCAACACTTAATGCTCCATTACCCAGTGTTTCAATACCTAGTAATCCAACACCGAGTGTTCCAACACCAAGTGTTCCAACACCAAGTGTTCCATCACCCAGTGTTCCAACACCCAGTGTTCCATCACTTAGTGCTCCATCACCCAGTGTTCCAACACCCAGTGCTCCATCACCCTATGCTCCAAGACCCAGTGTTTCAACACCAAATGTTCCAACACTCAATGTTCCAACATTCATTGTTCCAAAGCCCAGTTTTCCAACAGTCAGTATTCTAACACCACGTGTTCCAGCACTCAGTGTTCTGACACACAAAGATCCAACACTCACTATTTCAATACCCAGTGATCGAATACCCAGTGATCCAAAAATCAGTGTTTTAAAACTCAATGCTCCAAACCCAACTATTCCAATGATCAATGTTCCAATACCTAATGTTTTAACACCCCAAATTTACAACATGCAATGTTCTGACATTCATGGTTCCAACACCCAATGGTCCAACACTCAATGTTCCAACACCCAGTGTTCCACAACCCAATGTTCCAACACCCAGTGTTCCACAACCCAATGTTCCAACACCCAGTGTTCCACAACCCAATGTTCCAACACCCAGTGTTCCACAACCCAATGTTCCAACACCCAGTGGTTCAACACTCAGTGTTCCAATACCCAACGTTCTAACACCCAGTGTTCCAACACCCAGTGTTATAACACCCAGTGTTATAACACCCAGTGGTCTACCATTCAGTGTTCCAATACCCAACGTTACAACACCCAGTGTTCCAAAACCCAATGTTCCAACACACAATGTTCAAATTGGTTCAAACACCCAACACCTAGTGTTCCAACATTTAGCAGCAGTCTGTTGATTTAAATTATTTATCTACGTAAAATACAGGAAATATATTAAACTTTGTTATAGAGTTTTATAAACACAAATATATAAAGTATTTATTGAACGGTATATCACATTTGAATCATGTTTATTGTGAGCTGATTGTTATATTGGAATATTGGAGTTATTGAGGGCGCCTGACAGCTTGGTGGACAGCGCTTCGGATTCGTAGTCCGGAGGTTCCGGGTTCGATCCCCGGTGGAGGCGGAGACAAATGGGCAAAATGTTTCTTTCACCGTGATGCCCCTGTTACCTAGCAGTAAATAGGTACCTGGGAGTTAAACAGCTGCTACTGGCTGCTTCCTGGGGGTGCAGGCCTAGTCGAGGACCGGGCCGCGGGGACACTATGCCCCAAAATCATCTCTAGATAACCTCAAGATAGCTGTGTGTACATTAGAAGGTGACAGCCTTGAACCATTACAATAAATTATTATTAACAAATTCTGAAGATTAATTATTACCTCAAGTGTACTTTAACAAGAATTTACTAAGTAATGTTTTTTCTTTAATATTTCCATGTTGGTCCATTGAATCTTATGGGAAGTGACACTTTCAATAAATATGTTTCTTGTATCACGTTATTAATAAGACCCTGATATACTTTGGACACTAAAAGTATTCAAGCAACCCGCTATCTTTATTTAAATTGACATCAGGCAGCAGCGATGGTCATCCAGAAGGTGCTGGCTGTGTAAGCTAAAATTATAACTCCTGGTTCATAATATTTGTTGCCTTCATTACCAAGGTATTAATTAAAGATCATTTAAAGGACTCGACGAACGCAGTCCTATTCTTTCTTTATCTTGGCGCTGTCTTTACCGAAGATTTTAGCAGCCACAACCCTGAAGATCCGCCGTAAGACGAAGACGAGAAGGAAGAGAGCCAGGTGGAGGAGGAGCAGAACGTCGAGCATGAGGAACTCCACCCAGGAGAGCTGTGCCGCCGGGGACCTCAGCTGGGGCGCCCCACGGTGGCGGATGACGTACTCCGTCCAGAACACTGCCGGTCCTTGAGTGATGTCGGCTGGTCCCTCATCGCCGTTGATATTCTCATCATGTTTTCCTTTTACCTGACCACTAAAGAATGGAAATTATCACTGTCCAATTATATATTTTTTTTTAACCTGTTCTTCAGGTTAAAAAATATATATCTTATTTCACATGATGTAAGGAAATAGATTAAAACAATTTGTTTCATTATAATTAATATTGTTACTATTGTGCATTGTTATGACCCCGATTGCCTCATGGCCTATATCCTGTCTAGGATGAGATTTATTCCAGATCCAAGCATACTGTTGACTGAAACCGGAGGTATAGCATAGTGCGTAGTGTAAATCCACGCTGTATGTAAGACGAGAGACTTGGTTTGAGGCATTTTGTCTGTCACAGAACAACTTTCAGATGGACAGGAAACATGACGACGACGAGAGACTTTCTCAAGGAGAAATAAGATGGATGACGTCCTCATTGACCAATGAGGAAAAAGCAAACTCGTGAAGTGTCATGAGCAGGTGTGCGATTGGTGAAGATGTCACCTGTGAGTGTGGGGTCAAGGTCCAGCACCTTTCATGGCTTTTCCAGTTTAAGGTGTTAAGTGATATTGCATTGGTGAGAGAAGTGCCGTGTAACTGACAGAAGGAAGTTCTGTCAAGAGATGAGTTGAGAGCTTCACCCGATGTATAATATTTTATTTATTGTATTTCTTTGTATTAAATGTTTTGAAGACTCGTGCTTTCTCGTCCCTTGTGAGATTTTATAAGAGAGAGAGATAAGCGGTGTCCTTCTGGCTTAATAATGAAGAGGGATTACACGAGAACTAATTGAGAGGACACCTGAGTAACGGGGAAAGATTGAGTCACTTGTAGCTCAGTTTGGGTATAAGCACATGACAACACGTGAGAGACTAAGCCTGTAGTTCGTATCTTAGTGATGCGATATCTCTTCCCCAGAATTAAATACCTGTACTAGTAATTCCTTTCTTAGGTTTCTGGTGTAGTTGTGATGTGTGGGAAAATCCTAGCAGCTTAATTCTTTTTTAATTCTTTAACTATTAAATATTTCTACTTATTTTTAATTGACTTTAATATGATAAAGTTTTATCTGATTTATTTTCTTAGTTCTTAGTAATAAGTTAGCTAATTAAGCAAGTAAATAATTAAGTGATTAAGTGAGTGGACTGTATGTATAAACTGTATGTATAAATGTATGTATGTATAAATTCAGCTGCCTCAATTTATCTCACATAATTTGGGGGGACAATTTGCAGCTTAAACCACTTTGAGATGGCTCCTTCTTAAACCACAAATTGTTTATCTTATAAATATAATTATAAATCATACCACCTATGGTGGTGTAATCTACTACTACTATGGCAATGATTAATTAATAATTATGAGCACTACTTCTACAGTATGGTACAAAAAGCGGGCTTAGCTGTTCCTGTTGAAGGGGCCTGATAAGGCTGTGTAATTGTAGCATCAAAGATGGGTGTGGCCATGTGCCTCTGAGTGCCACGTAATGGCGGCTTTCTGAGGTTACAAAATTTGGTGTACAGCTAGGTAATAAATATATGTAAGGTCCCACTGTCTGCTCAACTTCTTGCTACTCCAAATCACAATTACCTGCCGAGTTCAAAGAATTAATAATGTTCCTTTAAACATATAAATACAGGTAAGACATGGAATATGAGGGTGATAAAATGTGTAAACGTACTTTTGGTGTGTTTTCTCCATACATCATAACCATCTAACCTATTTATGAATAAACTGGCCAATTTAAACAAAATACTTGGTAAGACGGATACTGTAGTTGCTGTAGTTGTTGAGAGGCTGTGTTGCTGGTTGTTGACATGTAATCTGGATGTCTAACGATTGATATCAGCTTCTATGGAGCTCTCTACACCGTGTTGTTGTTGTTCTGTGTGTAAGTGACGCTCCCTGCTTCCTTGTTCAATGTTTCGGTGGTGTGTGACGGTAACGCGTTGGTGTTCGGCTGTTTAAGGCTAGGGGTATGGCCTCGTCTCATAGTTATAAAAAAAATAGAAAAAACTGGAACTTCGTCTGTGGTAAGGTAAGGAGAAGACACACAAATCACAAGTAAACTTTTAACAATGAAATTTTAATTACGTTAAATAAATCAAAACATGAAAAAATGGACAAACAAATATGTATAATAAAATCAATCAATCAAAATAATAAGAATAATTAAATGACACAATGAAAAGTTACGTTAAGGCAAAAATAACAAGAAGTGCAATACAAAGTAAATGGGAGGTGTTGGAATATTGGCTTTAAGCCACCACTTCTCTCAGTACACGCTAGCGTCTAGCCGGGAGGAGTGGTGACAACGAGAGCACCGAATATTCTGAGGTCTGAGGTCGTGGCGACCCCAGACATCAAGTAGTATGGGGGGGCGAGTGCAGGTACAGCCAGACCGGCGACCAATCAGCGGAGCCGGTAGCGATCAACATGTAGTTTGGTGGTTTGAGTCCGAACAGGTGGCTGGCTGCATACGTTTTGCTCACCCTGGCAAGCCTTGCTGGTGTTGTTGTCGTTGTTGGACATGTCTTCCATAGTCGTTTTATATAATTTCGACGACGTAATTATGGAGGGAAGAGCAGGCTCAATCTCTCGAAGGAGATTATCGTCACAACTCTCCCCCGAAGCCTGCGGTTCTGGAAGAAGTACGTCGTTATGTGGTGGAGTGATGGATGGAGTCGCTTCTACTTCATAAACTCTGGAGAGGGCATCGGCTATGGTGTTGTCAGAACCCTTGATATAGCGGATCTCCAGGTTGAAGTCTTGTAAATACAGAGCCCATCGTAGAAGACGCTGGTTGGTGAATTGGGCTTGATGTAGGAAGCGGAGAGGGTTGTGGTCTGAGAAGATGGTGGTAGACCTGGCGCCTTGTAGGTACGGAGCGAAGTGTTGGAGGTTCAGGACGATGGATAGTAGCTCCTTTTCAATAGTGCTGTAGTTCCTCTGGTGTGGTTTCAGTTTGTAGCTGTAGTAGCTGACAGGTAGAACCTCCTCGCCTCGTTGTTGCATCAGGACACCACCAACGCCGGTACCACTGGCGTCGACATGAAGGACGAAAGGCTTGGTGATATCTGGAGAGGCGAGAATGGGATTAGAACAGAGGAGGAATTTGAGTTGTTCGAAAGCAACGGTTTGCTGTATGGTCCAATTATACCGTTGCTTGGGACTGGTTAATAGAATTAGAGGTGTGGCGACTTTACTGAAATTCCTCACAAACCTACGGTAGTAAGAGGCAAGACCAAGGAAGCGCAGGAGCTGCTTCCTGGTGGTAGGCTGTGGATACTGTTGGATGGCTTGAGTGTGTGAGTCTAACGGAGCTATGCTGCCACTCCCAATAACATGACCCAGATAACGCACTTTACCTTTCGCGAAAGTGGACTTGCCCAGGTTGATGGTGAGGCCGGCTGTCAGGAGCTTGGAGAACAGACGTCGCAGCTGGAGCAGATGTTCACTCCAGGAGTTGGAGGCTACGACGATATCGTCCAGGTAGGCGTATGTGTTATCCAAGCCCTGGATGACACGGTTGACAGCTCTTTGAAAGGTGGCCGGGGCATTACATAGTCCGAAAGGAAGGCGTTCATATCTGAAAAGTCCAAAAGGAGTGATGAAGGCAGATATCTCTTTAGCGCGCTCCGTTAGACACACTTGATAGTACCCCTTAAGCAGGTCCACTTGGGACAAGTACTGGGCACTACCAATGGCATCAAGGATGTCATCTATCCTTGGCAAGGGGTAAGCATCCTTGACAGTGACAGAGTTCAGTTTACGATAGTCAGTGCACAACCGCACCTTACCTTGGGGTTTGGGCACCAAGATACAAGGTGAGGCCCAGGGGGACTCACAAGGTGTAGCCAGTCCATGATCCAAGAGGTATTGCACCTCAGCACGCATGACTTCCTTCTTGCTCGGGCTGATTCGGTAGAAGGGTTGACGAATCGGC